GGGCATGCGGCTATGGGGGGAGGCTGCCCCCTGGCGCCTGGTGGGCGAACGGCCACGCCCCCTGGCACCCAGCGGGCAAACGGCCATGCCCCCTGGCGCCCGACAACCTGAAAAGGTTGGGGACCACTGCTTTAGGCTATCCAACCCACTGATGCAAACATTTTCCTCTCCCACCACTTGGATCATGTCCCAAGTTTGTGTCTCCTTTCATATTGTATTCAAATTCCTCATTCTTAACATCTTGGATTTCCACTTCTCTTTGACTGCTATTTTTCCTCCTCATCACCTTTCTCTGTCCTACTCTCTACAAATTCCATTTGCTAAATATTGACTTGATTTCTTTCACAACTACACAGTTTTCTATATCCCTCTATACACCTGGAAGAGTCTTCATTCTCCTATAATCATATATTTTTTCTCCGACTTTTTAAATATGTCCCCCCCAAAATGGCCTTTTCCAGATTATTTTCCATTACTAATGTTCGCCACAAAGCTCCCTTTGCTATGTTGTACACTTACTGCTATACACCCACACTATGCTATTTTGTGTATAAATATGTTCTAATATCTCCAATAAACAAATTATAGTTTAAAATATTGTCCTGTGTCCTACCCACATCATTAATAAAGCAATCATAACAAAGTGAAAATACTAACATGGTTTTCTGTAATAATACAAAATCATATTTAAAATTTTTATTTATATGCAAATCAAAATTCAATAACTTCTTGGCAGAAATTATTCTTACTGGTAAAATGACATCTAGAAATTTGCTGAAATGAGAATGTGTGTGATCTCTCAGATCTTTAATCATAGTCTCTAGAGGGCAGTAGAATATAATTTCGGTCAGTGTCTCCCAACCTTTCCAGGCTGCCCTCCCCCCCGCTCCCTTCTTTGCTAAGCCAGACAGCTCCACCGGGATGCACTGGGCTCCTGGCCCTACCAGGCAGCCCCACTGGGGCACATTGGGCTCCCAGCCCCACCACCAGTGCTTTTTTTGTGACGGTATTGCCCAGTACGCAGTACCAGCACCTCCAGATGCAGGACAGAGGAGTGCAGTTCACGCTCCGGGGCAGGACCCCACACCTGCCCCTATTACGATGACCTGCACCGCATTCTGGGGGGCAGTGCAGCCCCTTCTGCACCCTGGTGGTGGACTTAGGGCTGGAGACACTTATCATTGCCTGCCTGGGGGTCCCAGCCCATGACAAGGAGGAGAAGGAGCTGGAGGAGGAGGATGCACCCTGGTGGTGGACTTAGGGCTGGAGACACTTATCATTGCCTGCCTGGGGGTCCCAGCCCATGACAAGGAGGAGAAGGAGCTGGAGGAGGAGGAGGAAACGGCCAGCACCATCACCCTAGAGCTGGTACCCCAGGGCCTGGATGTATCTCAGGCATTCTCTGAGGCCGGGGAGGGATCATCAGGTGAGTGCTCTTAGTTTTTCCCCCCACACAGGGCAGGGGTGGCAGGCGCTGAGGGGCTGTGGTGCAATCGTTGCTCATCCTTCTCAGCCTGGCCCTCGTGTTGCAGTCCGTGCTAGTGGATGCACATGCAGCACAGCGCCAGTCTGCACCACACAACCCCAGGCGGCAGCCCCAGAGCACTCCGGTCTCCTGCTCACAGGCTCTGGGGAGGCCACACACGCTTCTGACTCCTGGGGGGAGATGCCCTCCCACCACTAGCCACTGCTGGAAGGAGGCTGGGGACAAGGGCATGCACATGTCCACACACAGACTGAGGAGTGCCACACCCGGCACATGGGCATGCCTGCACACTCAACACCACCTGCTCCTGGGAACAGCACTGCCAAACACAGGTGTGTGTACAGCACCAATGGAAGCCCGGCAGCTCCAGGCCCCTCTCCCGACCATTAGATCCCAATGTGGCTGGACACTTCCCTTGCCTGCTTGTTTGTGGTACGTGGGGGAGGGCGGTCAGAAGAGGAAGCATGGTTCTCTAGGGACCTCTGGTCCCCTGTGAGGCAGGGCCCACTGTCCAGGCCACATATGGCCTTGTTCCTGAGACATCACCGTCCTCTGCCTAAGAACTGTTGCTCTCAGCTCGCTGATGAGGGCAAGGCCTCAGGAACAGTGTCTCCAGGGATGACTGACCACCTCTATTCTCCCCAGCCGGACCAGCTGTGACTATGGGGCGATCGACACCACCTGAACCAGCTGTCTGACCCTGGGAGAGCCACAGGCATCGGAGGGTCCAGAAGGACCTCATGAAGGAGCAAGCGTCTGTCCTCCGGGACATGCAGCAGATGTTGGGTCAGAAGTTCTGTGACGATGCACAGGACGGTCCAGCAGCCAGCCCCTATTAAGCCTGATTTGCCCTGCAGGGCTATGTGAGGGTAGACCTGCAGAACTCCCTGGTGGATGGGGTTCCCTAGGATCTCCCTTTCCAGTACTCCCACACTTCCAGGGACTGCAGCCTGACAGTGCCTTACCTCCATGAAGAGGGCCCCAACGGTCAACTTTCCCACGCTGAACTGGTTGCCCATGGACCGGTAACTGTCTGGAGTTGTGAGCTTCCAGATGGCGATGGCAACCCACTTCTCCAGAGAGATGGCGGGTCGCATCTGGGTGTCCCATCATTGGAGGACAGGGGCGAACCAGGCACACAGCTCCATGAATGTCTCCTTCCTCATTTGGAAGTTGTAGAGCCACTGCTAGATGTCCCACCTCTCCATCACCAGCCAGTCCCACCAGTCGGAACTGGTGCCCAGCCTCCAGAACTGTTTCTCCACCATGGGGTGCAGTTGCAAGGGCATCGCCCCCACACACAGGCAGAGGTTCTCAAAGATGAGCTCGGAGTCGAGCTCATGCAGGACCATGAAGGCAGCCTGCAGAAACTGCTGCATGGCAGTACGCACTGCAAATGCTTTGTTGTCCCGCAAGCAAGCAGAAGAAGTTGAAAAAGCTGTCCAAGGAGGTCCCTTTAAGTGCATCTCAGATAGCCTTAGGCAACAGCACCTGGAAGCAACTGCTGACCTAATACTGTGCCTGAACTAGTTCTGGGTGGCCTTAAATGCGAGATAGCATCCAATCAGTGTGGACACTCTCTTTCGAAATAGCACATTGCTATTTTGTTGCACTTTTTGTGTGTAGACACGCTATTTCAAAATAAGCTTTTCCGGAAGATCTCTTCCGGAAAAGCTTATTCTGAAAGAAACTTGCACGGTAGACATACCCTGAGAGTGGAATTACAAAATGAACCAAAAGAGACAAGATGAGTGAGGTAATATCTTTTATTGGGCCTATTTCTGTTGATGAAGTAGACAAGCTTTCAAACTACACAGAGTCTTCTACAGACTGAGAAAAGTACTCAGGGTGTCATAATTAAAAACATGGTGGAACACATTATTTGGCATAAGTAGTTAACACATACTGTCTAAGAAACCCTTCAGTGTCTGTTACATATCTACAATAATATGACAAAATAAAAGATATTGCCTCACTCGTTTTGTGTGTCTAATATTTTGAAACCAACATAGCTACAACAAGACATTTTTCTTTTATCTGCTGCATAACACACAATATTTTCTTTGGTTATCATACATATGTAACTGAGCTAGTCACATGAGTGTTTTTTCTCTTCATTTATATGCACTGATATTTCTTTTTTGATCTGAAGTTATAACTCCAATTTAATAGGCTATATAAATGGAAGAATCTGAACTTTTCTTATTGGAAGATGCAATATTTAAAGATTCAATAAGAGTTTTTATTATAGATTAATTTTGTGAACTAAAGCTAAATTCAGTTTTCCATAGATTCTACCCTTTAAGAGACTACTCTGATTTTCTCAGACTCTTTCTTCAATCCTCGTCAGTTTGCAGGATTAAGCTCTAACCAACTGTTTGGGCCTAATACTGCATTATTTGTGTACCTTGAAGTCAATGAGCTGCTTTGTGCCAGGAATCTTTATTAGCAGAGGAACTAATTGTTGTTGCTAAAAATCATTACAATATTATATATTATATTTATTTTTGACATTTCAATTCAGTATACTGTTTTTGAAAATCTTAATATGATAATTTCACCAAACAGCCATATCATATCCTATCGTTTCAGCTTTGACAATGCATCAGCACTCAAAATGCTGTCGCCTGTTATTAACATGTTATAATCATTCTTCAAATCAATGTTATAATGGCAAAATAATTATAGTTAAAACCCACCTCATAATGTACCCTAAGAATAGCAAGTGCATCACATAGTTGCTGTTGGTAGCTCTGTCGAATTTTGACTTCTTTCTGAAATTGAAAATTTTAATGGATTACTGAAATATATATTGGATCTCAAGAAAGTCCAGATTATTACAAAAATATTACTTACTATTTTTCCACTGAACAAAATCAAAATGTTTTCCAAATTCTCTTGTCTAAAATAAAAGTTAATGAAGCAGTATTCCTATTACTTTTCTTTTGTTGTTGTTGTTTCTATCACTGGTGTATAAGGATCTCTCATTTCCATATTTGGCTAAATAATTATACTCTATACACTTTTATATAAATGGGCTCCCAAGTACATTAGACACATATATGCTGTTGAAAATAAACAACCAACAACAATTAAATCTTTCCAAAGGAAATACTTGAAATTAAACCAGTATATTTAAAATATTTATATATGTATGAGGACTGTACATATGAAAATGTTTAAAAAGGGAACTCCACACATTCCTCAATTTTTAAAATGTTTTATTATATACTGTTCACACTCATATCTTGGAAGCTTGAAATTAAATCCCCTTCCTTTACTGTTGTCTTCCCATTTATAAACATATGCTGGACAGTTACTGCAGGATTCTCCAGGAGCAGTAGGACACTGGCATTTATTTTGGTTTATTAATAAAAAGAATGTTAATGCATTTACTTGGGAAATTAATACATACATAAAGAATTGCCTGGATTTTAAAAAACACGTAAGAAACAAGGCAAGTTAAATCTTAGACCTATCAACTTTAATGTCCTTTTAATTTAAAGTTCTTACTGATACAGCACATTTTGGTTACTAATTGTAAAAATGTTTTGTAGACATTTATACATATGTTTATATACACAGGTATTTTCCATATGAATATCCACCACTTTTTAAACTACAAATAGTTGGAAATCCACATTTATATTAATCAACATATTTTTGGATTAACTTTATTTTATATTATTACATATCAATAATATGCCCAAACTGGAAGACTTACCTGACATTGCTCAGGTCCTTCCAGGCAGTGGGCTGGTGGTGTGGAGGATGCAGGAGTCAGGATGGGGACTAGCGGAGGGGCTCAGGGCAGAGAACTCAGGATGTGGGGGTACAGGAATCAGGGATGGGAGGAGGGGGCTAGATGGGAGGCGGCTGCTAGATCTGGGGGCTGCACACCCCACCTGATGGTTTTTCACCAGGGCGGAGGGGAAAGCTTCACACTCCACCCACCAGCTTCCACTGCACCCGCCGGCTTCTCTGGGGGCTGTCCTGCGGCATGGAGAGGGTGCTGTGTGGGCTGCCCACCAGTGCTCCTTGAAGGAGGAAGAGTGTGTGTGGCCTGCCCACTGGCATTCTGCAGGCCCAGCCTGGTGGTGACTGTGCAGGCTGCCCACCAGTTTCTCCCTGGTGCCACACAGACTACATGTTGGCTTGTCCGCAGGACCAGCCTGGAGACCGGGGGGACCATGCAGGCTGCCCACTGGTGTGTGGTCCCCAGGGGGCAGCAGAGGCTGTGTGGCAGCCAGCAGATGCTCCCCAAGGCAGGCTGCAGTGGTGGGGACCATGCTGCCAGTCAGTGGCTGATCTCTGGGGCACTTGCCGCCCCTCTGTGGTCACGTGAGTATGATTGTCCTTGTTATCATACCCCTCTCTTTTCTTTCTGTTTGATACAAAACAATCACATTTCACAGACGTCGCATTATCCTGGCAAAACCAAATCCTGAGATGCCTTAAATTATGATTAGAGGAAGCTGCATACCAAATTCGGTGGTCCTAGATCTTATGGTTTAGGAGTTCTTGAACAAACAGATTCACGGACGAAGAGACAGATAGATGCACATTTCTACAATACAGTAAAACTCCAATAGTCCGGCACCCAGTTGTCCAGCACTCCTGATAGTCTGGCATCAACTGGAACCCAGAACTGCTCAGGTCAGCCTCTCTCACGGCTGGGCCACTGTGAGCCGCATGTGCACTCACAGCCTGGCTATTCCGCTCACGGTCCCCAGCGCGCACAGCATCGTGCTAGCAGCCGGCCGCTGAGCACAGGCAGTTGCTTCGGGACCCGGACATAAGGTTGGGGGAGAAAGGGGATTGGGTGACAGCAGGGAGGGGAGGTGTTTGGCTCTGGGGAAGGGAAGGGGAGGGGAGGGGAGGGGGACTGGATTGCGCATGGCGTCCCGGCCAGCTCACTGAAAAGCCGTCTACTCAGTGCACGTGCCCCAGCGCCTGGAGGGAGATGCATGGCTGTACCGGAGGCTCCGGGACCCGAGCATAAGTTGGGGAGAGGGGGATTGGGTTGGGAATATGCCCCCTTATAGTAACTCCTGGTACTCCGGCATATCTGATAATTCGGCATCACCTAGGTCCCAAAATTGCTGGATTATCGGTAGTCTACTGTATGTAGTAAAACAATAAGATAGAGTAGGTGAATGAGAGATTGACATTTTAAGAAGGTTACTCTGTACCTGTTTATGAAAAGTTTCCATGTCTCTTAATCTCTCATTTATTAGTCTGTAGAGATTCGAAGCCTGCTCTTGTATTTTTTCTTCATACTGTGCTTGAAGGACATTTTTATAGATCATAAAATCTTGCTGGATGGAGTCAGTCAACTAAAAATATAAAAACTGATACTTACATATACACTATGAAGGACATTTTTTTCTTCCTTGCTTATACAAAATAAACTAGTCAGAAAACACGACTGCTTTAATGATTCAGTTAATATAAGACATTGGATGAGTGGCAATTTTATTGACTGAAATGCCTTGGAATTCTTCTAAACAAAAAACAGAATATATTCTATCTGAAAGTTTATTGACAAAAATCAAACAAATTATGTAAAGCAAACTGTAATTGTGTCTGTAGATTGAAACACAAATTATAAACTGTTTTGAAAAATTATGTATTGTACTCTCAGTGTCATCACTAACAAGCTCTGTAACATGCTTTATCATGAATATGGTCATTGCATTGTAGGATCATTACTGTGGGATGTTAAAAAGCAAAGATTGGCATTAACAATACTGCAAGCACCTCGGGGTTTGGAAGACCCAGATTCATAATTCTACAATTATACGAATGCCATTTTGGGTGGAATAAGACATGCTCTGAGAACCTCTACTTGCAAAATAAGTGCTGAGGAAATTCCTGTCTTCACCAGCTTCAGAGGGATAGCCGAGTTAGAGCAGGGGTGGGCACAAGATGACCTATGAGCCACATCCAGCCCGCCAAGTCATTTGATCAGGCTTGCAGCCCACCTTGGCAGGGATGCTGGGAGCTTTTGCGCAAGAGGGCCAGTGTAGACAACGCAGTATTGTTTTGCGCTCTTTTTCGCAAATGCTTTTAACAGAAAAACTTTTCCGTTTAAAGCATTTGCGGAAAATCATGCCAGTCTAGACGTAGCCAAAGAGTTTCCAGTCTAAAAAACAACTATAACAGGGGAATGAGGCAAATGAGAAGGCCAGAATAGGTAAAGGAAGAGACAGGGTAACAAACATAATAAGATGTATGCCATTTCATAGCAGTGGTCAAAACTTGCCACTGCTTAGCCATATTAGGTTGCAGTTTTCTGTATACCCTATGGCAGAGATGACTTTTGAGGAGAGATTTAGAGGTGTATAGGAAGGAGAAGATTAAATTGTCAAATGCTCTGAAAGTAAGGATAAGAAATTAGCATTATGGATCCAAGGAAACAGAATTAAAGAGGGGTGGGAGAGAATATAAGCAGAGCAATCACTAAGTTGTTTTTAGTGATTGCATTTTGAATGGACTTCAAGGGACTGAATTTGTAAACTAATGGCTGCTATTCCAAAATAACTATGCAAGCATCTACACAGCAATTCCGTTATTTCGAAATAACAGACGGCTTATTCCAACTTCTGCAAACCTCATTCTACAAAGAATAACACCTATTGCAAAATAGTTATTTTGGAAAAGGGGCTCTGTAGAAGCTCCACTTCCGCTATTTCAAAATAGCTCCTCACCAGGGCCATTCTAGACTGCATTGCTATGTCAGGATACTGGAAGTATCTCGAAATACAAATGCCAAATCCAAGGAACGTGTCTGGTATTTTGGAAAAAAATTCTAAATAGTGGACACGCTCTTTCACCAACCCTGTAAACCTCGTTCTACGAGGAACAAGGGATGGCTCGAAAGAGCACTTTATTTCAAAATTTGGCACCATATAGACGTGCCAAATTTTGAAATAGCCTCTTTTGAAATTAAATCAAAAAAAGATATGGAATTTGCGTACAACAAATAGTGTATCTTTTTTCAATTTTACAGTGAAGTCTAGATATAGCCTAAGTTATTCCTCCTGGGGCTCTAAATCGAGATAGCACATTTTGTTAAGGGTAAAAATCCTAGGTTTATGATGTGAAGGTATCCATTTTGAAAACAAAATGGAGGATTAGTCCACCCATATTGAAAACAAGATGAAAGACCAGTCACATTACAGAGGGTCTGATGAGTCAAGGTTTTCCCGCCTTTTTGTAATAAAGAGGTAAACAAGCTCCAGTCATAACTGGATTTTACCTCAGAAGTTTGTACACGGTTTCCTGAAGGGGCAAATCTATGGGGTCACTCTTGCAGAGGTTTCCCCTTTTGACAGCATAAAAGGCTGGCAGCCAAATAGCTCGGGGCTGCCCATCCTAGTGGCAGGTGGTTTTCTCACAGCCAACAGCCTTGCTAATTACTCACCATCAGAAACGGGAGGACTACGAGGGTTCTTCTCAGTGCTCTTCTCTCAAGGCGCTTCAGGAGCCACGAGATAAGAGGTACAGGCTTGTGACCTGTCCATGACTTCTACTATATACCCCTGACTAATCTTGGGAGTTATGGGATAAGGGACAGTGCAGGGGCACTGTTGGTGCTCTGGAGGTGACAGTGACATGCAGCCCAAGACCCTTGCTGCTACAGGGGAGGGGACTGCAGAAGTCATGGAAGTCCTGGAAAAAGTCACAGAAACTGTGATTTCCATAAACTCTGTGTTAGACCCACAGCCTTAATTATAAAGCATTTCATTGCATCAGTTTCAAATTTGTAGCATTTTAAATGAATGAAAAAAATGTGAAAAATAAATAAATAGGGATAACTCAAGGATTTTCTCCTTGCTATTTTGTAATGTGGTTTTATTAGACATGCATTTTTAGATACAGGCTTATTTTAATCCAATATTAAAAGCTTTTATCAAATCTTTTATTTGTAAGCATCACACTGCTTCTACCAAAACTAGTAGCACACGGAAAGAAAAATTTGATTACAATCGATCTTTCTCTACCCAGATGATTTGAATATTATTCCTATTCAATTAATTGCGTAATTGTTTTATACATAATCTTTTTAAACTAAGGGTACTGTACTATTTTACACAAGCCATTTTTCTATATATATTATATATACACATAATCAGATTCACAGCTGGTATTAATGGAGCTGGGCCTATTAATATCAGTGCTAGACTTTTCTTCTAGGCTACGTCTACACAACGGAGCTATTTCGGGATACCTGTGGTATCCCGAAATAGCTATTCCGTGTCATAAGTGCAAGCTCATTATACTGAAATATAACAAGCTCACTATTCTGATGTCCCTGAAAACCTCATTTCACGAGGAATAAGTGACATTTCAGAATAGCTCATTATTTTGAGGTAAGGACACTTTATAGACTCACCCCTAGAGTCCTGGGCATTAATATAAAAATTTAAGTCTGAAAGTCTTCATTTATGTGCATTCTCTGCTCACCATGTTTAAATGTTTATATGTTGATCGATCTTCACATGGATATAATATGTACTCTGAGGAGGGTAACCAAACTGTTTAGCCTTTTATTCAGCTATTCCTATTTAATGTAACTGTGGCATGTTTAATGGAGAACTGAGATTTATGTAAGCTTAAATGACACAATCATAACATAACAGAAAAAAAAAGTAAGATTAGCACTGCCCCCAATAACATAAAGGGTAAAGATGACTTTGAGAGAGGATCTTTCCTCCAATATGGTAAAGAATATCCTGAGATATATCCAAGAGGCTCTCTTACCTGTACTAGAGCTTTTGTCGTAGTAGTCAGCTCCTTTAGTTCTATTGTTTCTTTCAGATCTGTTTGAGTGGCATGGTCTGTGATAAAATAGCCTACTTTTAAGTCATCTGAAATGGAAGGCCTACAAAAAAAACCCAAAGTAACCTTTCTTAATTGAAAAAAAACTTAGGTTTTCTTAATTGAAAAAAGTTAAGTAGTTAGTTAAGGCAATTTTATATTTAAGAACTGAAATTCAAAACAAAGGTCATCCAAAGGACATAGTGGTTTTGACTCATGAAAATGTATGCCCAAATAAATCCATTAGTCTTCAATGAGGATCCCTGTGACACCTTATTCAGCCAAAAAATATAATTCTTATTTTTTAATTTATCTAAGAGAAAAATTGAGAAACTGAAGTATGGAGTAAGAAATGTACTTATAATCTAGTTCCTTTGTAATGTTTGTTTCATAAAAAGAAGTGTTTCTGATCAGATATACAGACAAACTTAAACTTCAGAACAAAGTCAGCATTATTTTAAACTCAATAAGAAGAGGATGCAAAGAGAAAAGAAGATATTCTGTGATTCTATTTTGACACACAATAGTAATAATCTTTCAGGGTATGTCTAAACTTGCGCCCCAGTTCAAACTAGGGATGCAAATGTAGGCATTCGAAATAGTCAATGAAGTGGGGATTTAAATATCCCGCGCTTCATTAGCATGATCTCATCGGCACGTTTTGAAAAAGCTGTTGATCGGAGTAACATGCTGGCAAGATCATGCTAATGCAATGTGGGATATTCAAATCCCCGCTTCATTGACTATTTCAAATGCCTACATTTGCATCCCTACTTTGAACTAGGGTGCAGGCGTAGACATACTCTCATATAGTTAAGGAAATCATACTGAATTTTAGAGTTGAGTGGTAACTAGATGTTCTGTTTCATGGAAAATGTCATCAGTTCAATTTTGTTTCTATTTCAAGACAGAACAAAAATACTTTTTGAAATTTCCTACAAAACAAAATTCTGAAAAAAATAATTTCATATCAAAGTGTTCTGTTTAGATGTTTTGTTACAATTTTGGCATTTAAAATCTTATTTAGAACATTTTAAAAATCTCAAAGTTGGTTTGAAATAAAATATCTAAATGTTCTGAAAATGTCAAAATATGTTTCAAAATTATTGAGACAACAGGCTAGGACAGATTCTGTTGTCCAACATCCCAAAAAACCAAAAGCAGTTTAAACAAGGGATATGTAATTGCTTCCTTGTTTGCAACCTGTTCATCTACACTTCAGAAAATTCTTGGATGCACTGACTGATTCCTCTGCCCAACTTGAAGCTGAAAACTGACATTTTCCTTGTAAATATCACTGAATTACAAAAATAAATGATACTTGTCTGCATCAGCTGCTTTGCTAAATCCCCCCTTTGGCTCAAACTACTTCTTCAGGAACCACACACAAGGCTAATTATGCAAAGAAAAATCTAATTATATTTTGTGGGGGCATTCACATTGGATATCCAGGTTACTCTTGGACAAGTCTCTTTAAAAACATTAAGGGGCTAGGGACGGAAGATCTGTTAACCTGAGGACAAATAATCTATCATTTTAAACTCTACAGGAGAGGACCAAGTTTACTTATGTTTATACAATACCTAACAGAAAGTGGTTTGAACTGAGCCTTTTCTCTCTTCCCCATGAAGGGTAATAGAACAACATTCTTCCAGAAAGTGTTCCAAATGAGCTCCTTTTTACAATGCTATGATTACAAATTTCAGCCTGTCAAGCACTTTGACCCACCAACCTTAATGTGTCATCTAGTACTATTGACATGTTCAACAGACAAACTTTAGGGCTAATCCTAGTTCTGTCACTAACTCATTATTTGAGCTCTGAAAACTCTAATAATCTTTATCTCATATTCCCCATGGAACAGAGAGACAAGAACTCTAGTTCTGCCTTTGCCACTAACCCACTGCCTGCCCCCAGACAAGTTACATTACCTTTACACATCTCATTTTCCACATCTATAAGACTCAGATATTTACCACATCATGGCACCACATGTTACCACATCAGGTTGGATTTAAGAATTCATTTGTTAATTTTTGTAATGCTTTTGAAATAATCAAATTTCAAACCAAGTGAATGGAGTTAAGAATCTATTTCATGTTTAACACAACCACTTTTACAAAACTAAACTTTTGTTTACTCTTGCTAATAAAGGTGAATGCTATATTTTCCTGTCTGAAACAACATTACAATGCTTTCAAAATACAGTAAAACTCCAATAGTCCGGCATCCAATAGTCCGGCACTCCTGATAGTCCGGCATCAAAATAGCAAGAGCCTAGTGAGTGAGCGTCAGCAAAAAATGAGTCACAAGGTAACAGCGGCAACAGCTGAACAGAGCAGAAAGGGTAAAAAAGGCTTAAAAAAACCTAAAATATTACAGTATACTGTATATAGTATGTATAATAAAAAGGGTTAAGAACACTTTATATACAGTATATAATGTATACAGTATATATATAAGCAGTTTATAGTACCTCCTGATAGTCCGGCATATCTGATAATCCGGCACCACGTAGGTCCCATAGGTTCTGGATTATCGGAAGTCTACTGTAGTATGAAAATTTGTTTTAATTACACACTGACTCTCCAAATTCTCTTAATTTGTGCTGACACAACCATCACAGTTAATAAAAGTTAACGTGACAGCTACATTTCTATCACTATTGTATGTACTGATGAGCCTACAGCTTTGGACAGCATTTTCAGAAGTGCTTGCATAAAATAGGTGCACAAATCCCGTTGATTTTCAATAGGGACTGAAATACCTATGTCATTTAAGTAGCTTTGAAAATCCCTCTCTAACTATGCACTGTTTTAGAAAAGGACTACTCATCACTGCCATCTTAATAACATTCTAGGATTAGAAAAAAATGCCAATTTTGGATTAGTAAGATCTAGCTAGAAATGCTGCAAGGCTAATTCTCAAGAGTTTCACCGCTGTCTTTTTAAGTATAGACTGTAAAAATATAGTTAGTGTCACGCTGCCCTAGGTCCTTTACTCCACAGTTTGAGGGAGCAAAGCTAGGTACAACCAGGTACCAGAGCTTGGTGTTCGTGCCGCAGTAAAGAGCCAGAAGCCTTATAGTTGGTTCCCAAGTCTTCTCCACCCACAGCTCCCCTCTCCACCTTGCTGCCCCAGCTCCTCCGCCGCCAGCTCCCCGCGGCGCCAGCCCCGGGATTCCCTTACCGGCCGTCGGCCTCCGGCTCCTCCAGGCAGCAGGGCAGCGCCAGGAGCTCTAAGATCTGCGGGGACAGGCTGAGCGCGCGCCCGACCGACAGGCGGCTCATGGCTGGGCGCGGAGGCTCTTTCGCTCGGGGAGGGCCGCAGGAAAGGAGCCAAGCGTCCGAACCATGGCAACTAGCGCCCCGCCCCATCTCCCGGCACATCATTGATTGGAGGACGGAAAAGTGACGCCCCTTAGTGGAACAATGGGGCGAGCGAGAGGCGGGGCTTCTGAAGAAGTCAGGTTCTGAGCAGCGGTGACGCAGTCCGTGGAACTCGACCCCCCCCCTCCCACCCCTGTGCAGGAAAGGAGCCAAGCGTCCGAACCATGGCAACTAGCGCCCCGCCCCATCTCCCGGCACATCATTGATTGGAGGACGGAAAAGTGACGCCCCTTAGTGGAACAATGGGGCGAGCGAGAGGCGGGGCTTCTGAAGAAGTCAGGTTCTGAGCAGCGGTGACGCAGTCCGTGGAACTCGACCCCCCCCCTCCCACCCCTGTGCCCGGGGGACCCGCAATAGCTCCCGCCCCACAGACACCCACCAGCAGTGACAGGCAAAGCAACTCCCCACACTAACCATATCCCAACTCCCATCCCGCCTATCCGCCCCACCCCCCCGCCAGTGACACTACCTCTTCCTACCTGCCAGCCCTCCCTCGGAGAAAAACTCTGCCTGTCTACTAGTGCTCACCCAGCAACACCCATCAAGCCACCCACAAAAGCTGTATGTCCCCAAAGATGGACACAAACACCTCCCAATTCAATGGTTTGCCCTGGCAACACTCACCAACCCTTCCAACCAGCCCCCTTTCCACAGTGACCCTGGTTACTTTCTAATCACATTCCCTCCCCCCCCAAGCCAGCAACACCCACCAAACCTCCTCCTCCAGTAATATCTACCTTCCCAGTACTCATCTGCCTCCCATTTCCAATGACACAAAGGTGCACAGGCTCAACTGCCAAATATCCACCAGTGTCTACCATTGGAGCTAAAGGATAAACACTATTACCTGTAACAAAAGTAGGGTTTATATTTATGGAATAAGTATTTGAATGTTATTGTCACAAACATTTGTGTAAATGTGACATGCCACATACTCAAGGCAATGGAATATGTTAACCCGTTGATAAATATTATTTCCAGTAAGGAAAAGACATTTATCCTCTAGTAGTTAGAGTTCATAGGAGTTCAAATCCATCAGTTTAGCACTAATGACAATGCTAATGATAGTGGCTGTACATTGATTATATTGCATATCAAAAGTTTTCTAGACTTAAAAGTTTTCTAGGTCAGTTTTGGGACTGGCTCTGTTCAATATCTTCATCAGCGATTTAGATATTGGCATAGAAAAGAGTTTGCAGATGATACCAAGCTGGGAGGGGTTGCAACTGCTCTGGAGGATAGGGTCATAATTCAAAATGATCTGGACAAATTGGAGAAATGGACTGAGGTAAAAAGGATGAAGTTTAATTAAGACAAATGCAAAGTGCTCCACTTAGGAAGGAACAATCAGTTTCACACATACAGAATGGGAAGCGACTGTCTAGGAAGGAGTACGACAGAAAGGGATCTAGGGGTTATAGTGGACCACAAGCTGAATATGAGTCAGGAGTATGATGCTGTTGCAAAAAAAGCAAACATGATTCTGGGATGCATTAACAGGTGTGTTGTGAGCGAGACACGAGAAGTCATTCTTCCGCTCTACTCTGCGCTAGTTAGGCCTCAGTTGGAGTATTGTATCCAGTTCTGGGCACCGCATTTCAAGAAGGATGTGGAGAAATTGGAGAGGGTTCAGAGAAGAGCAACAAAAATGATTAAAGGTCTAGAGAACATAACCTACGAAGGAAGGCTGAAAGAATTGGGTTTGTTTACTTTAGAAAAGAGAAGACTGAGGGGGGACATGATGGCCATTTTCAGGTATCTAAAAGGGTGTCAAAAGGAGGACGGAGAAAACTTGTTCATCTTGGCCTCTGAGGATAGAACAAGAAGCAATGGGTTTAAACTGCAACAATGGAGGTTTAGGTTGGACATTAGGAAAAAGTTCCTAACTGTCAGGGTAGTCAAACACTAGAATAAATTACCCAGGGAGGTTGTGGAATCCCCATCTCTGGAGATATTTAAGAGTAGGTTAGATAAATGTTTATCAGGGATGGTCTAGAGTCTAGACAGTATTTGGTCCTGCCATGATGGCAGGGGTCTGAACTCGATGACCTCTTGAGGTCCCTTCCAGTCCTAGTATTCTATGATCCTATGATTTTAATGGTTGATGGTGATGCCAGAACAGATGCACATACATGCTATGTAATATTATTAAACAGTAAGAGTAGCATGACATTATTTATTTTATGGTACTCAAAAATATGCTAGGTTTTTCACAGAAGAGTTGCTTGTTCCAAAGAACTTACAGTATTCATAGTGAGCATGAAAGAAGTGTGAAGTTATGAATTGCACTCTGAAACAAGAGCAAGGAAGAACATAGTAACCATCTTACGCTTGGTTTTAGGCATATACATGTTTGGATTATTAAACTATATTGCAAGCATTGCTTATAGGCAATGTTCAGAAATGGGTGTTTAGGAGTGAGTTCAGTGAGGTAATGGTGGTGGTTTGACAAAATTAAGAAGGTTGTTTCAATAGTTAAGGTTGCCATGAAAAATAGGAAAGGAGATAAGTACAAATGGGTATCAAAACTGGCATAATTAGCAGAGTGGAATGTAAAAGTAGACCAGATCAGAGATGTAGGTAAAAGCTGCACCATGTTGTACCTTGAAAATAAGGATAGACATTTGAACTTGATGCACAGTTTAGTTGGAGTTAATAAAGCTTCTTAAAAAGTGATGTTCTATAATACTCAAAATTTATAGATAGAAAAATACTGCTTGAGAACTTATTATAGTTTGATTGAAGGATATTTACTTTATATATTTTGACATGTGATGCTGACAATTTATATTTTAATGGTTAAAAAGCTTAACTTTTTAAATTGTAATTTCTATTGCTCTTAACTAATTATGCCTTACACACCCACAATTTCCAACTGTGAGCAGTTAAATTAATAAAACTTGAAGAAAAAGATTAGATATAATTCCTATCTATCAAAATAGAAATATCTATCAAAATTATAAAAACATAAAAATTGAATTCTGCTAAGCTTACTTATTTCACTGAAACCATAGGGAAAGTCCTATAGGTAGAATGTTATTAATCGAATATATAAAATGTCTTCGGATTTACAACCCCGTCCGTACAATCAGCATGTCATTGAATCTTTATTGATCATGAGTGGTCAGCACCTTGGGTTTTTTGTTCTGAATAAATCACTTTTTCTAATATTTTGAGGGCTAAATGTGCATGTGATCTTCATTTTAGGGGTTCATAGTCAAGTCTTCATGCATCTACATTTTCAATCATGAGAATAATTATTGATTGGATTGTTATATGTAATCTACAGACAATATTTCATTTGTAAAATACAAATATGTGCAAAGAGGTACAAAAAGCCAAATTAAATATAAAACATAAGCTATATGCTGCCATGAGCTCAGGTATGACGAGACTACTGTATTAGCATGGTATTATTCAAAATACAATTGGTAATGAATTATAAGGAATTTTAGAAGGAGATTTCACACTTATACAACATGATTCACTATCTGGCATCTTCATACAATGCTGCTTACTTCCATTCAAGTACTAAATGGGAAGTTATTCTGTTAAGGGGCATTCCTATTGAATAATAGTTTGAATTGGTCTGTTATAATTCCCAGCTGTTCAGTTTAAGAAATATTTGAGTTTAGGAGGATGATAGTGGTAAGCAAAGGAATTATTTTCCCAAGCCACACAGATAATACTAAGCAGGTTTATTAGCAATGCATTGGGGAGGGCTCAACAGTAGCTTCCAAAAAATTATTAGCAGTACAAGTCTTATATATCAGTCACATACGTCATACATATCATTATACCAGCTACAACTAGTTTATCAGTTCATCTTCATGAAAGAACAGATCTTTGCACAATAATGTGGGGCCAGGTTAAGGGGGAAGAAAGGACAGGATAAGATAAGGAAAGACAGAGCAGAGACAACAAGGTTTAACAGAACAGCTTCTTATAAACCTGTGAGAATTCAGGAGGAGGTTACAATTTTGACAAACTCAGTGAAAGTTTCAGCAATGATCAAGGTCTTGTTGCAGCTGTGCTGTTATCTTAGTCAGGCTTTGGGGCCCAGCACAGGAAAACAAGGCTTTGTCCTAACAATAGAGAAAACTAATTAAAAAGCAGAAACTGGTGTTTTATCTAAGAAAGGCATCAGTGAAATCTTTCCCATGGGACATTCACCACCAATAAAAGTCTATATAGCTGTGCATTTTGTTATAGGGAGAGACTGCCAGCAAGAAAGAGAGGAATAGGAAAGGTCTTGGGAAGAAAAGAGACTGTAAGCATCCCTGGGTTAAGTTCATTTGTAAGGACTTGATCAAATTCTTACAAATATTTTGTTGCTGTTTGATCATAGTAAATATTGTGTAGATATTTTAGGCATGTTTAGAGTAATCGTATAAATACCTTTTGTTATTTGACTTTAATAAATACATTTATAGTTAAATTGGTTGTGATAATACTCTGTAATGGCACTCTCCATACTCCAGCAGCGCCCACCAATCCAATCTCTCCTCCTCCCTCCCTTCTGGGAGTATCAGCAGTCTTCAATCTCACTCTCTGTCACCGTGGCCAACTGCAGCCCCTCACTTCATGGGCAAGCTACACTCTATAAAGGCCACTCCTCAATGTGGTTAGGTGTAGCGCAAGGAAGAAAGGAAGGGATCCAGGCATAATTCGCTAACTTAGTTATATATGCTCTTTGCTTATGAATCTGAAACCGTGAACTGAAAGGATGCGGTTCTTTGCTGCAATCATCCCTTTGTGGAGTGATAATGCCTTGGTTGTTAGTTGGTGGAGAAAAATAGGTGGGACTGTTACTAAAGATCTAAGGATTTCCCAAGATAATCCTTGAAGTCTTTCCCTTGAAGTCATTCTCATTCAGCTTTCGAGGTATTTATTCTAAAATATATTCCCTGAAAAATATGCAAGGCAGTTTATCATAGTGTTATGTTCCCAGTTGTGTATACCGCTTCAGAGGCATA